CAGGTGTAGTACTAATTAGAAATCATAATGCTCCAAGAATACATTTTCTGTATTCTTCAGATAGTTTGCTTTGGAAATTAGGACCTCTGTTTCATTATATGCATTCACAAATAAAACCATGAAGAACTAAAATGCAACAGACCTGGTTTTATTCTTGTGGTTTTAAGATAGTATACATTTAAACTTAATTTCTTCTGCAAGAAAGTGGTATGTAAAGTACGATAAACTTGGAAAAGAAATATCTAAACCTATAGGTTTGTCTCTTCTGTCCAGTTAGCAATTAAAGAACTAACAGAATTGACTGGTGAGTGTAAAATGTTGATAAAAGGTTGACCTAAATCTCCTGAATAACCGTGTGGCTTGATTAATTTGATGTGTGGAGTGGCAAATGAACAGCAGCACTGTCAGAAGAAGGTGTGTTGGAAGTGTCTGTACTTTTATTTGCTCTCTGGAAAAGGGATAGGAAACCTGGCAGAGGTCTGCTGCGGGGGGTCAATTGTATAGTTTCAGTCCAGGCATTCTGTTTTGTGCAAGGCTGCTTGTGTAGCATTGTATGGAGTGTCAGGGGAGGATGATAATGGCTTTCAGGCAGTGCTTTGAGGCCTTTCATTAGAAACAGAATAAATCTCAGCTAGTTTGTAGTTACTCCTCAGAAGTGACTAGTATTGGCTCCTGGCAGAAGTGTAGTTTCTTCCAGGAAACCTGAGCTGTAATGTTCCTGCTTTATTTGACAGTGTTTCTGAGCACCAGAAGAGTAAAAATATCTGTGTCATCTCCTATTCTTCCCTCCCCCAGTATGAACTGAATTTTATCTCTGGGAATGCATTGTTCCATTCCTGACTTGTCCCCTTAGCAATGTATTCTGTAACTGCATAAAACTTTCTTCATTCCCTTGTTTTAGTCTATAGTTTGTCATTTTTCTGTAGCATTAAACAATTGTGAATAGGTTATAAACACTCTAACTTGTGTAGTTTCACTCAAGTATTTAATATTTTAATGTTCTTCTATAACTTTATCTTTTTAATCTTTTTATTTCAGAACTTAGTTTTACCTCCAGATTTTCATACTTTAAGCATTTAAAAAATAGAAATGTAAAATATAGCTAAATTCATCCCATGGAAAGGCAGCAACCTGAGTTGTTTTCAGGTGTATTTATATAACCAATTTTCCTTTTGAATTCTTTTCAAGATGCTTTCTTCAGTGGGTTTGTAGCTATCTTGTGAAGTCATTTAGAAATGTATTATTTTTTAAATTCACTTACAACTATAAGCAGTCATCCATGTGTCCTTCTGCTATAGGCCAGTGGAGTGCAAAGGTTGTGTTCAGAAGCAAAAAGTTCTGAATTCTTTTTTTTAGCCACTGAGTTTTTCAGAACATATGTTCCATACCTGTTATATAAAGTTTGTGGCTGATATTCAGAAATGATTTCCTCAAAAATGTCTTGTTTTCTGCCTGTGGGTATCAGGCACAGGCCTCACCAAAGGTCAGAAAATAGTCTCAAAACAGTGTAGCTTCTTAGCAATTTAAATATGAATTTTTATTCCTTCATGTTAAATATTAATAATAGTAATATCATAAACCCTCTTGCATCTCATGGGACAGCAAGATTACTGGGTCACAAGGATGTGTTTTCTTCCTTACAGGCATTATACTTTAATGAAAGCTTCAGCTGAAGCAAGTCTTGCATATTTATTGACATTTTTTCCAGGAAAGCTTTTTCCCCCTGATTTTTCCCTGATCCCTTGATTCCTTCAAGGAATGCTTTTTTTCTGTCTACTTATTATGAAGAGTTTGGCTCCCACAATTATTTAGTCAGAATAAAATGTTTAAGAACGTGATCATGAATATATTTGACAAAACAGAATTTTTCATACTTCTAGTGGAGAAAATATTTCAGTTATCTCAGATTTTATACAGCTTTTGGGGGAAGATGTTCTTTGTCTCAGTATTTTTCCACTGCTGTAATGTAAAGGGGCAATAGGATATATAGCTCAATTTCTTTTTCACCTTCAATGTATGAAGATGTTTGGAGTATTTGATTGGGTATTATTGTCTTGCATCACTTTTTTCCCCAACAACAGTTAAGAAAGCAACCACAGAATTTATTCATGCTACAAAGAAGTACTACTTTTGCTTTCTTTTTTTCTGCACTTAGAACAGTCTAGTAGAGGATCTCATTGGTTAGAAAGTCCTGTGCTTTTATGCTGCAGTTAAATATTTACATTGCGAGTTAAGGTGTATTGTGGCAATCTACAAATGCGACTACAGTTCCTGATCCGTTTAAGTATATCTGCTAAGTAACATAGCCTATTTCCTGACTGCAAATAATATGCTTATCTATGTTATGTTTAATTTATGTGTAATTTATCCTATTAGATAAGATTTGTGTTGCTGCTGTGAAGTTATATTAGAAAAAGCCATGTGGATTTAAGAAATCGATATCTTACCTGTTCAGTGTGTTTATGCAATGCAAACTGCTGAGCTCCCATGAAAATAGTTTCACCAGGACCTACTGTGGAAATGCTGATGCCGAGCTGTGTTCAGCAGCTAAAAAGTTCCTGCTTTCTAGAGGCTCATGTGGATTTTCTGTGTAAACAAGCACTGCCCAGGATTATAAGCAGGATAAGTAACTCTGTGGTCTTCAAGGTGATCAGAGGCTCTCGAGGCCTTGCAGGGCAGCTGAAGCCTTGGAACACTGAGTTTGCAAAGTCACCTGTTGTAGGATCAGATAACAGCCAACAAAATCAGTGTTGAGTTATGCCATCCTTTATTGCCTAGAGCGATATTCCAACTTTTATTGTTAATCAAAGCTACTGCTTCAGTTGTACACAAGTTAGGTCTATACCTAACATTTGGAACTAAACAGCCTGTGTGTACAAACTGTGCCAGCTCATGCACATGTTGACCTGACCCATTACTTACTGCAAACATTACTACCACTATCAGCACCTCTCCACAGAGACACCATGAAAGTTGTCATTGCATGCACCACCCAAGGGGTAATGGGGAGGTGTCTGCACTGATGGTTGCCATCGGCTGTTACTCCTCTGGGGATAATTTGGCCACTCTAGATCAGTGTCCACACATGTAGCTTCTCTCTGCAAAGACTGAAGGCAGAGTCCTACCTTCTTGCTGCTCGGTAGTCAGCAGTTTCAGCATCTTCAGAGGAACTTCCCCAATAGTGGCCTGCTGCAACTTGTGCATTGCATAGCTTGCTTAATCTGATTGATTGTTTGGGAGATTATGTTGTTATGGTGCCTGTTATATCTATGGACCTTACAGGTCAACCATTAGTTTTATTTCTCTACAGTCATCTTAAAGCCACACTTCAGACACTTGTCTCAGGCAGTTTAAGTGCCACAGGAAGACTGTGCAAACTCCACCACAAATGTTTGACTTGCCTTTAAAATTAGTATCTTGTTCCATTACCAAGTGTGAAGCACTGGTACATATTTTGTATTGCAATTGCCAGTGTGTTTCCAGCCTGTAAGGTCGGATGGAGTGTATATTCAACCCAGGGGCCTCTATATAGGAAATAGGAAAGGGTCAGTGTCTTCACTGAGAAGTGGTTTGTGAGCCACAAATCTAAAGGAATTGAAAATGATTGCTGCAAATCTCACCTGCATGCCATTTACAGTGATGGTTTGGGAGCTATTGACAGTGCCTCACCGCAGAAGCTTTCCACTGTTTTTGAAGCTGATCTTAAGGAAAGCAGGGATCCAGTTTGGCTGTTTTTTTTCCGAGACACATATTTGATATACACTCACAACAAATGTTAGGAAACTTGAAGTGTGACACTGAATGAGTTTTGATAAATAGTAAACAATGTGAAAGGCAAGTATGCTCTGGAGGCTTGCTGCGTGCATGGTTCTTGTATAGGTTCAGGGCAAGTCTTGAGTTCTCCCATAAATATGGAGAACCTTGCATCACTGGTTTATTATATCCCAGCTGCTCTATGTGATTTTATTTGGATGGTCTTTGTTTCTAGCTGTTTTCCTTGGTGTGTTTTGTCATCTCTGCCTCTTTAGCCATAAGCATATCTCTGTTAGCTGAGGGACCATACATTGATTGAAAACATGAAGCTAGAAGGCATCACAGTAGAGCATCTGGTCCAAGCCCTGGCCCTGCTTAGAGCAGTGATGACTTTGTGACTGACTTGCTCAGAATGGAAGCATTCATGTCCCAGACCAGAATCTGTATAGCTCCACTCAAAAATTTGCATGCTTGTCTCTGAAAGCAAAAATAAGTTGTGATTCGCTGATACCTTTCTTACCCAGAAAAGAGCAGCACCTCCACCCCCATCTCTTAGAGAAGGAAAGAACTGGGCCTGATGCAGTGGATATGAGACTGCTCTTCAATAAAACTGTGTATGCTTGTGATAGTTACATTCAGAGTACTATATATGTTGCTTTGTATTGAATGATTTGGCTGATGTGGTGTCTCAGTTTTTACAATCTGATAACGCCGATTGCCTGCTGGGACTGAAGCAGTGTCAAGAAAAAATATAGGAGGAGATAAAAGACTCCAGCTAGTTGAGTTAGATATACTGAAACTGTTTCCTATAATAGCAATAAAAGTGGAGGAAATTGAGGCTTTACCTAATGAGAAACTTTTTAGGCAGACAAGCCCTGTAAGCGACAAGAGGAGTTACTTGTCTCTGGGTGAAACCTGCAATTCCTACACACCTCTGGGCTGTGTGAGGTTGTTAGGTTGCTAAAGTGGGGGTTTGTTTCTTTCTTCTGGGTGAATTTATAAGTTATTCTTAAAGGTGCAAAATTTACTTGTAAATTTTCTGTCACCGTAATAGAGAATCATATTGAGAGATTGCCAGTTTTGCTGTAAATGTGTAAGTATGTCTGTAAATAATTTATTTGTAGTACTGCTGTCATCTGAAATGCACTGACTGGCTTACAATTCTTTTACTGCAATGCTTAAAAGTCATATATAAGTTACTACTTTATTGCTGAAATGTACTTTCCTGGTTTGCTTTCTCTTTTTAGGTGTCTTGGCTTTTTAATCCAACAAGAAGTGAAATAACAAGTCTAGATAGTGGAAATATAGATGACATTTTAAGTGAGTACTTTGAATATTATTTTTTCTTTGTGTGTCTGCAGTTACTTATCTGTGTGAATATTGCAGTGTTATTAAATGAATATGCATACTCTGGCTTTGAATAGATGAATTGCAGTTGGCTTAGAAATATTAAATGCCTGTGGTCAAAATTAGCTGTCTGAACTAATGTATTTGCAATGAAAATTTGAAGTGTCTCAGAAAAATAACTGGTATCTAGTTGCAGATGGGAGTGCTTGATTACATCAACAAAACCTGTCAAGAGGGCATTTTAAAAGCTCCCAAAAAAATAGCAGCACCTGAAACCCACAGTGATGGGCCTTAGTATCTTGCTTGTTCAGCTATGCTTTTTCCTCAGGTTGAGCATTGTCCTGATTCTGATGGCTCACAGAAAGGCAATATGTAAAATAAGCAGATATGTGTTCTGTGTCTGAAACCTTTTCCTCTGAAAAATATGTATGCCTGTATCTGGTTGCCTTTGCAGGAAAAAAAGTGATTATATTTTATCAAATATAGTGAGAAAAAACATCTCTTTTATATAAGTCTGTACTAGAATCTGCCTGTTGTTACAGGATTGCTTTTGTGGTATGAGATCTGTTTGTAAATACCTTTTATACAGTAGGAAATACAGAATCATTTTATAAAATGTTATTGATACAAGGGAATATGCCAAGTGTAAGTACTTTTAACATTTATCTGATTGCTTTCAATAAATACTTTATGCCTTGGAGGAAACCCTAAACTTCTCAGTGCTTGTTAATTACGTGTTCACCACTTGCATCCCTTGCTGATAATGAAAATCTTAATGCTGTAATTTTAATCAAACTGTAGTGTTCCCCAGCCTTCTCAAGAGTTGCCTTTACCAGCATGTTGTCCATTCCAGGCTTTCAACATCTTAATTTTTGCATGTAACTGTTCTGTAACTTTGCCAATTTTCTGCTTTGTCAGCATTTCTGCTTTATAAATCTGTGGCTGATATGCTGTAGTTTCAGTATTCTTTTTTTTTTTTTTTTTGCAATGTCTAGGCCACTGCTACTACTGAAAATGTATTTAAAGCATGGTTATTGTATTCTGTAAAGATCACAGTTTATTTTTGAGCAGGAGATTTATAATTTTTTATATATATTTTCTTTTTTTTTGGTATGTGAAAAGTAATGTATAGGAGCATTATTTCACTACCTCATCTATGTATCCCTGTAGTATTGCACTTTTTTGAGTGTCCCTTAGCATTTTTGGTTTTTGGGGGGACTGAAGATTTCTTTGCTACCTTTTGTCTTAGTATCCTGCTTCATAGCAAAGAAGGGAGCTAAGGGCTGGCCAGAGCAAGCTGCCTGTTGGTCACTCTCCTAACCCACATAGTTGAGATCTCAGCTTTTAACTGTTTCTTACACTTATGAATAATCCAGCTAATGCTTAAGAGATACACTAGAGTACAGTTTCTGGATGCAGGTGCCACAATTTTAAATCCAGAATTGCTTTTATTTTATGTGCCACTTAATTACTTCTTCTGTTGTAATACCTTAAGTATTCACATTTTGAATGTCTAATGTATCAATGAAGTCAATAGAACACTTGATTGAAGGCCTCTTTCATCACTTTCACATTTTTTATAGATTCTATTTCAGATAAGATTTACCCTAGCAGTTTTCTAACAGTCAGACTAAGCTATATGCTGAATAATCTAGAAGTACTTGCCTTTGTAGTTTTTTGTGCATATTTTTGTATGCTCAGATAAGAGAACTAAGAAGTTTGCCTCACAATGTGACATTGGGATTTTTTTCTTTTTCTTTCCTCTCCAGACAATGCAGATGTTGCTTTAGTTAATTTTTATGCTGATTGGTAAGTTATTCAAGTTTGGGTTTTATTCTCTGTTTAAACTTCTCTCTTTTGAAAACTGTCATGTTTAACTGTAGTTTTCTAATTGAAAATACAGCAGTATGTTGCTTTCAAACCAATCCTTTCCTGGTTTTATGTCCCTACTGTTTCCCCTCCTGTTGTTCTGCCATCCTATGTTTCATTCCTCCTAATAGAGGAAAAAATGGAATATTTTACTCTCCATTTGCTTCTGTGTTAGTCCAGTGCATATGTACTAGAAGGAAAAATGACTTGAAATTGCACTAAAATCAAATCTTTCTCTAATTTGTAAGACCTTTCAAGTGGAGAACTAGAGAAATTATAATTGAGAGGTGAATCTGAGCAACTGAAAAAGGAAGGAATTTGGGGCCAGATTGGTTAGACATTGTGAAAGACATACTAGAAGGAGCTTGAAATGTGTTTTTAAACCCCAATTTGCATGCAGAATCATTGTTAGGATTAATTTAAGCAGCATACCCCTTTGAAATGTCTCTTTTTTTTAAATCATAGTGCAACTAAGTAATTAGTTAAGTAAGAAACTAGGCCTAATCTCTTGTTTGGTATAGAATTATCCTATAAAGAGTATCTTTTAAGATAAGTAAATAAGTGAAGCTTTAAAGATGGTTATTTTCAGTTTGTGATCTGCAGTTACCTGGTGGATCATGGGCTGCTTCAAAAGGTTTTATTAAAGATAAGCAAGGAAAGCAATGCTATGGAGACTAAATTTAATACACTGAAATTTGGGGTCTGTGTTGCCATTGAAAAATCATTTTTGGATTTTGCAAATGACAAATTGCAGGTAGCTAAATATCTGTGTTCTGTCATAAAGGGAAGATACCAATATTTTGAAACTTGAAATAGGGAGGTAACAAGCATCCTGTTTTAGGACCTTAGTAGCACAACTCTTTGCCCAAATCCCCACTGTTATCATATCTTCTGCAGAATAGATCTGCTTTGAATGTGAAGATTTGTATATGCTGCAAGTTGCTTGACATCATAGGCCATAATTTTAAAATATTCCAACCTTAATTATGATCATTACATGTAGGCATTCAGTAATAACCCCTTAGCATAGCATACTGCCAGTCTGTGATGTGACTTCTGAATGAGAACAGATCAGTTTTGCTCATGTTTTATTCTGCTGTAAGGGCGAAGAAGAATGAGGGACAAGGAAGTTGTGTGTAACATATACATACTACATAAATGTGTAGTGTGTAGTAGTTGTGGTGCCCAGAGTAAATTTTTTTTTGCAGGCAATGGATTTTAGCTCTGTTTGTATTTTGAGAGCAAAACTTGCCTCTCCACTTAGGTGTTTGCTGCTGCAGACATAAGTGTCCCCAGGCTATGGCTGTTAAAGTTGAGCAGGGCTTCAGTGCAGGCTGGTTTGTTGCAAGTCTCTGCTCCATGAGGACTCGTTCTGACAACTTCTGCAGTGCTGTTGTGTGTCTTCAATTTAAAATTCTGCTATGTGTTTAGGAGGGCAGAATATAAAATGTCTTTATTGACATATTAATAATGGGCTTGGGCTCTAGTGTTAGCCTAATCTCCCTAAAGCCTCCATAAGCATCTTTACAATCCTACAGCCTTTTTCCATGGGCAAAAAGAGAGAATTTGCTGCAAAATCTGGCATGACGACTGAAGAAGGGACCCATAAGGTTCTCTTTGCTCATAGTGCTGTAAAATCAGTCTGCTCAATGAGCAGTAATATAGTACATAATACCTACAACTTGTATTTTGACACCTTGGAAGCTACCTCCATGGTATTTCTTGAAGGTGGTGGTGAATATTTGAATCTCAACAATCTAAGTAACTTCCTTTACTACATTTTAAAAATTACGTCCCCAAGGTTAATTCAGGTAGAAAAAAAATGAACAACGTACTTGCTCAATAGAATATATTTCCTAAATGTTTATGATTAATGCTGTTTCTTAAGCAGATAAAGCAGGGGGATGTATCTTGAACTATGTATTCTTTTAGAATTATTTTTTCTTTCCCACCTGAATTATGTAAGTCATTTTTTAACCTATTTTTATCCAGTCAGTTACTGAGATGACTACAAGTAGATGTGATTTTTTTTCAATATTTTTTCTGTCTGTTTCTCATTTCTTCAAAGATTGAAATACTCCATGAGTCATCAATTAAAGTATTTCAAGTTAATATTTTGAAGTTATGATTTTGTGTTCTATTTACAGGTGCCGCTTCAGCCAAATGCTGCATCCTATTTTTGAGGAAGCTTCTAATGTAATTAAAGAAGAATATCCAGATAAGAATCAAGTGGTGTTTGCTAGAGTAGACTGTGATCAGCATTGTAAGTAAATTCTGATTTACATTTTTCTGTGCTATCCTGCTACTAAGTTGCTCATTGCATTGAAGAATATACTAGATAGCAATCTAAAGTGTACCTGACCCACCATTAGCCAAGAGTTGCTTTTATTGCATCAGTGAACCTCTTCTCCCAAATTTGTCAGGGCAATTTCCAATGTTGTTTTCTCATTGCATCCATAAACATGCATTTATATCTGTTCAGCCTGTCTTGTTTAATGAGAAAAAATGACAGAGTTTATAAATTGAATTGGCTCATTGACGTGTCAGAGAAGCACCAGTGCAACAGATGATACAGGAGAAAAGTCAATTACATATGTATGCAAGGCAACTGCTTTGATTTACTGTTTTCTTTCCCATTTTAACAATTTAACTTTTCGATGTTAGGATCTTTCACTACAGTGGGAATTCTTGACTTGTGTCTTGGTTCTTACTTGCAGATTTAAAAGTCAGTAAGTCCTCTTGAGCATCTTCCACTGGCATCACTTTGTGCTCCATTTTGTATACATGCACATAGGTGCCCAGCAATAAGAGCACCTGCCTTGTGATCTTGGAAGAGATCTTAAGTAGAAAAAAAATCCAACTTTTAAGGGAACAAACCGTTTCAACTCAGTATCCGACGTGTAAAATAAACTGATTCTTCGAACTATAAGGAGTGGCCAAAGAGATTCTGTTCTGCCCCTTCCCAAAGATCTGTAAGACCAATTCATGACCACCAGAAACTTAAATGCCTCTGGGGTTTAATCTTTGATCTCTAGGATGCAGGACTGTCTTTATAGCCTCAGCTGGAAAAGAGGCATAGCAGTATTCACCTAGGGTATGTGAGCAGCTTTGGAGCTTTCAAGCTGCCTTTCTACGTTGGAATGGTTGGGATGTGTTAGAAATGATACAAAACTTTTAGCGTAGGTATTCTTGAAGAGCAGTTTATTAGACACAGGGTTATAGAATCTCCTGGACTGAGCAGTGCTAGTGCCTTGAATAGAATGTGGAACAGTGCACTTCTGTAAGTGCCTGGAGCATTTCCAGAGCAGCAGCAGCAGAATGGAGTGGAATGGCTGTACTTAATGTGCTTCACTGGATATGCTTTAGTCTGCTTGACTTACAAGTCCAGTAGTATTTTTTCTTTCTTATTATAATGTTGTCTCTATTAAGTGAATGTTTTCCTACCTCCTTTCTCAACAACCTTTTCTAGAATCATGGATTTTGGGGGGTTGGTGAGGCTTTTTTGTTTGTTTTGTAGATCTTTTCTAGTTTCATTTTGGTTGGGTTTTTGTTTGTTTGTTTTGTAGTTTGGGGATTGTTTTGGTGTTTGTTAGTTTGTTTGACTTGTAATACCTTCCCAGATCTCAAATATTTAACTAGATTTTCAGGTTCTTTCTTTTTCACACTTGCTGCTCTGTTTTGCTTCCAGTCATCTGTCTATGTGGTGTGTGCTTGGGAAATCTTAACCAAAAGCATAGCACTAAGTATTCAAATTTGCCATCCTTAAAAATCAGTTTTCAAGTAAAGCAGTCAAATCCTTTGGAGGAGTATATTGAAGGCAAAGCCTGATATGTGGTCTTTGCCAAAGTTTTCTTATGGAGATTTTTGTCTTTCTTTGTTCTGAGTTCTATTGCGGAATCTACACAATCTGCCCCTGATCTTTGCAATTGTAGAAGATAAATGCAGTTGTAGCAAGCATTTTATTTGTTGTTCAGTAACTCTACATACTTTTGCATATATTTTGGTATATATTCTATCACTTTCATTAGTGATAGTTTCTCAAATTATCTTGGATCTTTTGGGGGGAGGGAGGAGTTAAGGATATTTGTACTTCCAGTTTAGTTGGGTTTTATGGTTGACCTTAATGAATAAGTCTTACCTCAGTGTCTTAACAGTCTGTTTGGCTCATCTTTTCATTCAGTCAAGATACTGACAATGAAACTTTCTATAAATTTATCACAAAAGACTGTAGTAAAATCAGCCTGTGTTGCTGAGTTTTATTGTTAACCTTTATATTAACTGCTGAAGTCCTTATCTTGTTTGCTGTAGCTTGAGTTGCTTGAGTAACTCAGAGTCTTTGGGCTGCTGAATGCCCAGTGTTTAGCCATGAGATGTTTTGTCTTAGCAGTAATGTGGCTAAGTGTTTGAAACACTTTAGGAGCTTGTTGCTTAATTTTCTCCTCATAGCGTCATTGAATTAAGCTCATCAGAGCTTGTTATGGAGAGCTAAGGCCTAGATGCAGGGAGGAGATGCTGCAGCAGTTGTCTTTCTTCCCCTGGGAGTAGGTGTAGTGGGCTAAGTAGAAGGCAGCCAGGAGTTGTGGTCTTTTGTTTTCATTACTGGAATACCATGAGTTCTCTGTATATACTCTTTCTGTTTTTAATTAAAGAAGTAGATGAGCATGACTTGACCTGCAGAAGCTGGAAAAAGTGAGAATTAAAAATGAAATGTTTTAATTACATTGCCTTTTCGAATTAAAATAGCAAAGCTGCATATGTCATTCCTAGTTCCTAGTGTTTATTAGCTGGGTTGCAAGCAATTGTACATTTCATGGCACACAGTGGGTGTGCTAAAGTTTTAAGTATTTTGACTTTGATTTTAATGTATAAAATGTTTATAGCATAATATAACGTAGATGATGTGTAAAAGCTGTAATAGCAGCTTTGTAGAAAGAGGGCGATTGTTACTATATTATCCAGCCTGGGCCTGCTGTAGTAGCTTGTTTAATGGTGGAATCAAAATTGTTACTGTCTCCCACCCCCTTCCCCCTTTTACCTTTATATTTTTGTGTGTATTTACATATTTTAGCAACACTAGAAGGCTTATGTCAATATTTTAGGGTTTTGTTATGCCTGCAGATTTCGTACCACTAGTAGTTCACTATTAAAATTATGTTCTAGAGGTGGTGGATTATTTGCATTACAAATGATCTGTTTCTTTTTGAGGCCAAGACTCTGTAGGGAATCCAAATAGCTGATTTCAGGGCACTAAAAAACAGCTTTCAGAATGGTCAGCCAGGCATAGATACTTTCCATTTAATGTACTATTATTGAAGCACACTGCAGGGCCCAACAGCTCACAGCAGCTTCTGAGGGTAAAGCAAATTAAAGAGAATTATTGATGCACTGCCAAATGTTTGATGCCTAATGACAAAACCATCATTCTGTCTGCTCTTATGGCCAATATAAAGATGTTTTTCTGGAAGGTGATAGGCTCCCTATGTGATTAAATACAAAATCTAAATAATGACACTATATTAAGACTCTGTGTTACATTTGACATCAGTTTATAATGTTGTGGAAGATAATTATAACTGAAATGTGTAAGTTAAGTCATCAGGCTGTTTTTAAGCTGGTGTGGAGCTAAAGGTAAATCTGATGAAGCAGGTACTCTATAAGTTTTGAGAGCCTCATCCTTTTACAACTTAGAAATGCCTAAGTTCCACTGCATTGTGTGTTGTTAAAATCTTTGGTATGTTCAGTTTAGTAATTCACTTTTTAAAAAAGTTTCCATATGAAATTACAGAAGATCTTTCTGCATATACATTATTAGGAAGGTTTTGTTTGGTTGTTTTGGGGTTTAGTTTTGGGGGTTTTTTTTACTTGCTTGTGGGGTTTTTTTAATCCTTTGTGTTAAGCAGCAACATTGGAAACTCACTTGGTACAATGGATTTCCTATGTTTCTGTCTTCCATGAATGAGTACTGCAAAATTAAAATTCGTGTTTCTGGAGGAGGGTTTATATTTTGGACAGTTTCTCTGAATTTGTCATTTGGAGCTGTGGTACAGAATTCTTGTACATTAAAGTATATATATTGTGGTTTTCATTCTGCTGCACCGTTATTTACTTTGATTTCTGAGTTAAAGGAAAGTAATAGCTAGTTTGAATAAATCTTCGTGCCTCCAAACCGAAAGCAATTCTCACTGCTGGGATGTAAAGAGGTGCTTTGCTAGACAGCCTGCTTAGAGAACTGTTATTCTCCTTTCAAAATGTACATGAGTGGTATTTTCATTCACTACTGTGAGCTGCTAATGTCTCTGGGTCCTATTGTTCCTGCAGTGTGTGCTAATGTTAGTCTTCAGGGATTAGACTGTAGTGCTGCCATGCCTTTGGTAAGCAAAATAACTCAGTACAATAACAAATGAAACTCTTAAACAAGCATGAGGATTCCATTGCACTCTTGCTACTTTGCTTGGGGGGAAAAAATCACTCTAAAAGAGTTACCTCTGGATAAAATAAGAAGTGGAACTGATTTGGAGAGGTTGTTGATGGCACTCCTCAGAAGAAGCATTTTATTAGCCTCTCATAGAAGGTTCTGGGATGCCTACTCATGAGGCCCTACTAAGGGCAGGCATGGCTGTTGTGAATGCTTCTTTGCAGCAGAAGGTGGTCTAGGTTTGCTGTTACCTGAGTTTGATATAGAAACCTGAGTTTGATATAGAACACTGATTGCTTTTCTTGTACTTGTTTTGGTCCATTATACAAGTCACCAGTATCAAAATCATTAGAATAGGATGCCTAGTTTAGATGATTTTCCACGTTACTTTCTAATTCTGCCTCCTGTGAGTGTTCCTGGGTCTTATGATTATGTGCAAGTGTCACGAGAGGAGAGTTTAACTGGGGGAAGAATTAATGATGTACTATGAAATACTTAATAATAAGGTGAATGTAGTGCTGTATGTAGTGAAGTAGGAGGTAGAAAGGCCTTTTAAATTAACTGGAGAGAAAAAAGGTGGTGGAATCATAACTCAAAAAAGTATCTATCAAAGGCAGATTTCCATTCTTATTTGTAGTGTGCCCTGGCTGGTAGCCTGGGGGACTTCAAAAGATGTTGATTGATCTCAAATGAACGAGCAGAATACTCATTTGGGAGTCCCAACTTCAAATATACAGCTGAAAGGGTTTGTACTTTTGAGACAGAAGGTATTGCAGAAAGGTGAAGAGGAGTTAAAGATGATTTAAGACACGGAAAGATTAGTGTTAGATCAGTGAATTTAAGGTCTCTGTATATGTAGCTATGCAGCTCTTACAACCATGGTGTAAAACCAAAGTTAGGAAGTGCAGTGGATGCATGGATCACAAATGATAGCTCACAAAGTCAATTTTCTTAGAGGATTTTGCTCAGAAGATGATGTGGGAGACTGTCTTGGAAAACATGAGTGCAAATGTCAGGTTTCATGTGAAAGTTTCATTCAGAACAACAATAAAAGCTGCTGTCTCTTCCCAGCTGTAAGAAACAGATTTGCTCAGGAGAAGTATCAGTATGGTGCATCTATGAAGAGAAATGAGAGACTGTAAGACATTCCTGTTGGATCTGGTAGAAGGAATAATAGAAAAAAGACTGGGCAGTTTAGAAATGGTTGCGTGTTAACAGATAGACATGCAAAATGGGGAGGAGAGAGTGATCTCAATCCAGCAGTCATTGGTCTGCTTGAAGTTTCTGATTTGTAGAGGGTAAGAGAGTGACCAAGTATGTCAATAGCTTCCTAGCATACCTAATGTGTAACTGTTCTGGTAGCACAGACATCAGGCTTATGATTTAATGATTAGTTCAGCAAAGCACAAGCATAAGGTTTGTTCCTTTTAAGTACCTTAATACATGAAGAAAATAGTTGTGAAGTTGTAGCTGAGATATTTTTTTTTTCTTTTTTTCTAGGTAGGTTGCTCTTATATGTTTCAAATACCTGTTTTCATCAGAAAATGGACAGTGAGAATGTCTGGAAATATTTTTAAATCTAATTTAGGATTTACTATAACTAATGTGTTCTATGAATGAGTTCAAACAATATTCCATGTATTTGCATTGTGTATTTCCAATTTTAAAAGGAATGTAATTTTGTAGTTGCTCTGCTTATGCTAACTCTACCTGTATCAAATGCCAGGGCTTAATGAAGCATTTAAGGTTTACTCTATTTGACTTTTGAATTAGTTCAAACAATTTTTCATGTACTTGCATTTTATATGTTGTAAAAAGATGGTTTCCAAATACTTACTTGTGTAGGAGTGTCATCTCTCTGTGTTAGTTCAAATACCAGTACTCATGGAATCTCAATAATTTCTAAAGATTATGCAAGTTCTGACTTAGGAAATAATGTTTGAATTCAGTTTTGACAGTGGGTATTTTATTGCCATTAATTTTTTAAATCAACTTCAGCCTTTGATGAAGATCCACAGCACTGGGGCTGCAATCTCCATCTTGGAGAACCTTCATGACCCCCTGAATGCTCACTCTGCAACCCTTGCATCCTTCTATAACTGTGGAAATAACCCAGAGCAAAAGTCCATGTTGTGAGACAACAAAGTGTAGTTTTTTGTGTTCTCTTGCTGTGCATTTCTGTAACAGTAACAGTCCTTAATCTCAATGTGTTTCTGCAAAACCCGGATATGTAGTGCTCCTTGTACCTTGTCAGACTCTGGCCAAGTTGATGGACTGACGCATTGTCAGACCAAAGGTCCTTCTATCAACAGGAGAGAAGGGCAGCAAATGCCTGTTTTGCAGATGTTGTTTGTCTTCCACTGAGCAAACAAAGTGGTTCCTCCCTTGTTATACCTGCTGCCTTCTTGGAGGCAGCTCCCAGTACTCATGGAATCTCAATAATTTCTAAAGATTATGCAAGTTCTGACTTAGGAAATAATGTTTGAATTCAGTTTTGACAGTGGGTATTTTATTGCCATTAATTTTTTAAATCAACTTCAGCCTTTGATGAAGATCCACAGCACTGGGGCTGCAATCTCCATCTTGGAGAACCTTCATGACCCCCTGAATGCTCACTCTGCAACCCTTGCATCCTTCTATAACTGTGGAAATAACCCAGAGCAAAAGTCCATGTTGTGAGACAACAAAGTGTAGTTTTTTGTGTTCTCTTGCTGTGCATTTCTGTAACAGTAACAGTCCTTAATCTCAATGTGTTTCTGCAAAACCCGGATATGTAGTGCTCCTTGTACCTTGTCAGACTCTGGCCAAGTTGATGGACTGACGCATTGTCAGACCAAAGGTCCTTCTATCAACAGGAGAGAAGGGCAGCAAATGCCTGTTTTGCAGATGTTGTTTGTCTTCCACTGAGCAAACAAAGTGGTTCCTCCCTTGTTATACCTGCTGCCTTCTTGGAGGCAGCTCTTAGGATCTTCAACTAAAAAGCAGTGGAATTTAAAGGGAGAAAACATTATTGATCTAATACTTGTTAATATGGAATATATTGGCACCTTCCCTTGAGAAATTTGTATTAATATGCAACAAAAGTACTCTGAATTGAAGACATAAAATGCTTTACCCTTAATTTTAATTATAATTAGTGCATTAAGAAACTCTTCTGGGATATTTAGGAAACAGGTCAAGGCCTTTCTCTTAGTCAAAATTGATAGGCCGAATTCTGTGTTATTTTATAGTGATGCAAAGCTTTTTAGGAATTAACCTTTACTGGTGAAGCTTTTAAGTTTAGTGGTTTGAGGGATGTTGAAGAACATTTTTGTGGAGTAGATGTGGTTTCTTATTGCTTTGCTATGCACAATTTGTTTTCAGTTCTTGAACTTGTCTAAGCTGTGCAACTGGTACAAAGATTGTTTTCAGTAACTAAAGCTGCAAGAGATTAGTAGTGTTCTAACAGCAATTGAAACTACTGATGGTTTCACTGAGAATTCTCCAGGCAGCAGGGAATTCAGACTTCTGTCTGCATTCTCTTTTAAAAAAGAGTCAGTGTGAGATACAAAGCAAATCTGCTTTGTGGTAAATATATGCCTGAGAAGAAGGGATATTTTTGTCAGAAAGGATCAGTGTTCACATCATTCAGTACTGCACCACATATGCTGATGGACACTCATTTGTTTGCCTTCCCCCTGTGAGCTAATCCAGGTCACCTGAGGTGTACCCTGTGGCTTCTAAGGAGGCTGTGAAAAGTACGAGGGCTTGCATTCAGCCCACATGTCCAGTGCCTTCCTCTCTCTGTCTTGAAAGGATAAATCCGAAGTTCACTCTTTCTCTTTCCTTGAGAGAGAAGGGGAAGTGTGGTGGGTGTGGCTGACTGGAATGAGTCGCCTGAAAGGACTAAGCAGCTCGGGAAGTGAGCAGACTGCTCATATCTGGAGATTCAGTTGGGTTTAGGTACAGAGGTTTAGGTATACTGCATCCCACTCTGTAACAGAGGGCACTCAGTTTTCAGAGGAGCTGTGAGATTTTGTTTCTGGATTTATTTCCAGGGGAGGAACAAACAGGAGGGCACAATTAAGCAAAGTAAAAGCCAAAGGAAAGTCCTTATGGAAATCTACCTGACATTACATGCTTTGTCTCTATTGTTTAGTTTTAGTCTTGTTTTCCTAAGAAGCCAAAGTGTTCAGTTCTTCTTCATAAAAGCTTGAAGCTTTTTGCTGAACTTCAGCTACATATGGAAGAAGGGAAGAGCATGCAAAGCTATTAAGTACTTACAAACTTTGATTAAAGCAGCTGTGGGGTTTTAGAGCTGCACAAAACCAGTTTCTGTGTTGTAGCAAAGGCTGCTGTTAAAACTGAAGGCTGATGGATCCTGCTCAGTGTGCCATGGGCCTCTTGCTGGTTATGTATAAGCTTCCCTGTCAGTTCATAGCTGGGAACTAGCTGCAACACCTGTTGCAACTTACCGTGCCCCAGTGGTTAAGCAGAGTGGAAGAGGGGCAAAGGGGCACTTGAAGTACTCTGGTGGGGTGTAGTGAAGAACCACATTATTGCAGTGGTTGGAGGTAAGGAGCATAGGACACACATGCATTGAAAACTGGGATTTATGGCTTCTGCTCAACTGTTGTCTTTGCTGCTCTCCTAATTTTCCTGTAAAACCTATTTCTGGTTTTTATTCTTTTTACACTTGTAAGTTTTGTGAATAAATCAATAACTGACCTGTTATATATAAAGGTGAAAATAGCAAGTGCCCTTATGCTGGACAAATGCAAATACATGTTCCTTTGTTGTGTGAAGCTCTGTGGAGTTCATGTCTAGAAAAGTGCTGGATTTCATGTAGAGGTGTGAATGAAGACCTGTATTGAAGGGAATACTGGCTCTGGTTGACCAAAGAGGTGTTTGCCTTACTTTAGAAACTTGAAATTTTTGGTTAGTTCAAAACCTGAACAGCTCAGAACTGTAACAAGTCTTGTGGCCTTTGTAGGCTTCAAGAAATGCTTTGCAGGGGGTTCATATTCTCTTAGAATTTTAGACATGACAATTATATTTCCAACACTGCAATTCAGATAAAAATCATAGTGAGTTTTAAAAAAAAGGGGATGTTTTTATTAACATTTTCTCAAGTAGCTTAATTAACTGAGATTTAGCAAGCTTTCAAGATTCTCCTGTTGTTGTTATGCTCTTAAGACTGGCCTTCCTTGTTGTTCATAGGAAGTGTACTAAATGAGTATACCTGACCAAGTCAAGTACTTATCCCAGATTTTGGTGAATTTTTCTTTTCTTTATGAAGATAAGCACATGTGAGAAATACATAGCTGATATCTCTTCTCTCCCCTGTGGCAGTGTGTGCTTGGGGTATGGGTTTATTTTAGTTTTGTTCTTGTTTAAATGTGTAGACCCACTGGTTCAGAGGTTCCACATATGTGCAGGCATACATGTATAAGATGCCACGTTCAGTGTGTTTCTGTGTTTGTAGGACACTGGTTTTATTTTCTTAACTTCTTTTTAGCGGATATAGCTCAGAGGTACAGGATAAGCAAATACCCAACTCTGAAACTCTTCCGGAATGGCATGATGATGAAGAGGGAATACAGGGGCCAGAGATCTGTGACAGCAATAGCAGATTACATCAGGCAGCAGAAGAGTAACCCTATTCGGGAGGTCCAGGATTTGGGAGAAATTAGTTCTCTTGATGTAAGTCTTTCAATTTTATTACTTCTATTTAGTTTTTTTAATGTTGAACTGATGGAGCATAATGTGTTTCAAATACATACTTACTTTTTTCATTCAGCAATGTTGAGTTTTGGGGTTTTTTTAAAAATGAGTGGAAAACTGGATCATTTCCAGTATTATAAATTACTTCAATATAATGATCACTTTCAGCTGCATTCACTCCACCACCAAATTACTTATTTTGCTTTTAATAATTTGAAAAGAATCATATGTTGCATTTGACAAGATACTTCTAACAATCCTCACTGAAAAAATACTGGCAGGGATGCTTCTGAATATTGAAAAGGCAGAAGAGAAATAATTTCTGCATTTAATGACTGCTGAGTGAATGGCTTCTCTGTTTTTAATATCCTTGGGGAGCAGTGATAGTTTTTGATAATATGATGTAAGTTATAATCCAACCTTTGTTTTTACAGCGCAGCAGAAGAAATATTATTGGATACTTTGAGCAAAAGGACTCGGACAACTACAGAACCTTTGAAAGAGTAGCAAATATTTTGCATGATGATTGTGTGTTCCTGTCTGCCTTTGGGTAAGTTTTAAAATTTGTTGACTGCATGACTTTATTATCGGAATTCTGTTAACAAGTTGCATATAATTTAATTGAATGGACTTCTTTAGTACTTTCAGTGTGATATAACTGAAAAGACTAGGCCTTAATAGAAATGTACACTGAGAGAAGGATAGGAGGAGAAAACTATTTCTGGCCTTAATGTTTGCGGAGAAATTCAACTTTTCTTCTTTTTTTTGTTTCCTTTTTCTTTCTTTTTTTCACTCTTTCTGTATAGTTTAAAGGTAATTAGGGAGGCTTGGGGTGGGGGATGCTAGACAGTTGCATCCCAAAAACCTGTTTTTTGGTTTTTTTTTTTAAAGGGAGAGGAGAACACATAGGGAAGACTTTGAAAATGTTTCGAAATAATAATTATTAGCTTTACAGACTGAGTAACTCTTTTTTTGCAGTGATTTTTTCCTTTTTTTTTTTTTTGTAGGTTTGTTTTCATACTTTGTTTTTTGTCCTGTAAAGATTGTAGCTGCTTGCTCATTTCTTCCTGATGTTGGGCGAGTGAACGTTGTTCCAAAGAGCCTAATTTCTGTGCCCAAGTCTTTTTCATGCAAGTTCTATGTCACTGCACAGTGTAACAATTTAAAAAGGCAATAGCATTGGTGAGGTACAGAGTGTAAGTCTAGAATAAAAACCTACAGAAATGAGAATTTCTCCTCAGATTTACAGTGATATTTTAAAATATTACAAGATATTCACTGGAAGAAAAGGAGCAAATTGGGATTGAGTGATTCCCTTTGTAAGTAGCATAATAAAGTGAAATTATAGATTCTTTCTGCCAGCATTGCCCAGTTTGAAGTGTCTGGGCATTAATATGACTGCAGTGGTTTCCAGTCTACCCACAGTTGTGAAATCAGGAATTTGCATGGAATTTGCATTATGCTAGCTCTTATACCTTACGAGAGTTGCCTCGAGAGTGTTTTTTAATTGGATACAGCAAAAAATAGGAGACAAAGTGAGAGGATGTATCAAGGTAGATGTTGTTTCATCTGTTTGAACAAAATCTGTTGTCAGTCACTTGATGCCTCTTCCAATATGTGTCCAAAATTAGTTTGGGAGTGGGGGAAAGTATTTGTAATGTGCAGGAGTACATGTGGCTTTCCTTTCCTTCAGTTCCCAGTTAGGTGTGCTCTAATTGTGTAAGCAGCTTGTAAATCCGTGGTCTGTCAGTCTTATCCCCAAAGAGTGGCCATTATCTCAAGTGTTTTCCAAGGAGTGCTTCCATGCTTATTCTCAGGACAGCCAGTCTGAGTCGTTACTAGTTGTTTAAGTTATTTATTGCCCCCTTGTACAACTTTTCAGTCATTTCAGAAATAACTTTTTTTAAAAATCATTAATAAGATAACAGTACTTTTAAGATTTGTCTCTCCTCTTGTTCAAGTCTGTTCATCTTCTGTTTGCTGTTTGTCAATTTCATATAGTAAGAAATGGTTTCCCAGCACTCAATGTTAGCAGTTGGTTGTTGGGGATTGCTCTTGAAGTAGTAACTATGAGGATCTTGTTGGTTGGGTTTTCTTTGTGTTCAGATATAAGCAATAAGCAGACATAATGGAATGGATTTGATTATTTGTAACCTGCCCATGTAACTACTGATTGCACAGCAGGCTAGTCATTATTCTTATCTCCAGACTCCCATTCCCTTGCCAGGCCAGAGCTGTTAGTGTTTAAAAGTGCAGCCTTCCCAACAGCAACCTTGGAAGCTAAATGTTTTCATCTCTGAGTGGCTCTTAGGCTTCCTGAAAAAATTGTTTGCAAAGACTTCTGAGAGAGATACTGGCTACGTATCAGTGTTTCCTTTTCAGATTACATATGGCAAAATGCTTCATAGGGAGCTGACATTGATCAGTCAAACTCTTCTGACTGAGCATCCTAACAGCCCCTGGGAGGGATTTTTGGGTTTGCTATGGGCAGAGCTCAAAAGCTCTATGGCTTGGGAGGTATATGGTAACATGAGCAGTCATGTTCAAATTTCTAGTAAAATAAAATAAAACAATGAATTTGACAGGGGGAAAAGTAATTACTTTGCTAACTCCTGTCAAGGCAGAGCTGTACCCTGTTATGCCAAAATTACTCTGATTTTACATAGTTGTAAAATAACTATTAATGGTACTTGGTTGCAGATCATCTTGATGCTTAAAACTGTTCTTAAATCAACTGATCCTTACAGTTCTGTTAATGTCTGAGGTGACTACAGAACAAGATTAATGAAAGAAGGCTTGTAAACAGGAAGAGGTAGATGAAGAATCTAATGGAGAGGTAGATTTTTAGAAGTAGAACTAGACAGGGATGAATCTGAAATGTTTGTGCATGTGGAAGAGCATGTCCAGGAATAAAAAAACCAGCCAAAGATACTTGTCTGAAAAGGCTGTGATGAACTGCAAGTAATTCATGGCAGAGTGTCTAGGAACGGTTTTAATTTTATGTTAGCAAGTAACCAGGGGAGGGTGTGTGTGATTCCAAGAGCTTCACCTTCTATGTTACTGCTTCAAGAAGAGATGAAATGCAAACTGAAGTGTTTCCATTTTAGTAGTTGTTTTAAAAAGGTGTATCTTCAGGCGTTTGGGATTTCACATCATGTCCCCACTTCGAGTTATCTGAAAAAAAAAACCTAGTCACAACTGCAGCTACTGAAGTGGAAGAACACAGAAGAGGACATTTTGGGTTCTACCACAGGGTTACCCTAGAGCATATACTTCATCATAGATTACCATCAGCTTAGCAAGTAGTGACTGCACAGGTGGCTTCTATGTCTTCACTTTCTTCTTACTCAGTGAAGGCTTATTTGAGACGTGAGTGTTTTATCTCTGTGCTGATAGTCACTAGGAAGCCTAATTTCACATTATGGGAGGAGCCATGTCTAGAATACAGAAATGCAGTTTAAAATACACATCTCTAAGCTGATGCAAATACTGGTAGGTGTAACATGCTATGCAAGGTGTCCTTTGCATGTGATAAGAAAAGGATAATCAGATCAAATGAAATAAATAAAACATAGGTATTTTCAGTGAAGCCTTATCACATCAGTCTCTTTCTTGGCACTCTTAAATTGTTCAGGCCCCTGGAAGATTTATCTCATCTTGCAGTTAGGTAAATTGAGATATTTTGGCTTGTCTTTTTTTTTTTTTCCCTACTTACATCTCTTAGTCAGTGTTCACCAATGTTTATATTGAATCCACAGGAGAGAGATAATTGGAGAAGGTGGAACACTTACTGAATGTTTCCCAAAGGCTGACATGCTTTCTTTTTAGCCTGTGCTAAAAGGAAAGGAAATAAGTACCTATACTCTTTTGTGGCATATTCAGCTAGTCAGGTCAGCCTTGCCAGCATGAGTTAAGCTGGGACAACAAGGCGTGGGAGGGAAGAAGACATGAAGCCTCTTTACATCTCTGAAGGTAGTATAAAGGTTTAGTTTTTATTGGGAGCTTTCTTTGCCTATTTTTTTTCTGTCTCTTCCATTGGATGCATAGCTGTCCCAACTTGCTTGAATAAGAGATGATAATTTTGGGGTACAAGCTAGCAGCTTTTAGGCCATTCTGTTGTGTTTGGGATTAAGGAGCCACAGAATATTCCAGAGGCAAGAGAGGAATTTACAGAGGTGACATAGTAAACTGAATACCAGTGAGGAACTGCATGTCTTCCAGGTACACACATGCTATATCATCAGTGGCCAGAAACTGCACGCTGTGTCTTTTGTTCTCTAGATCTGCTCTGAGAGTAAAAGGGACAGTGTGGGCTTACTCACTATCTGTTTTCTCATTGCTTGTGTTGACAGAGCACCACAAAGCCCTTCTTTATCAGGATAGATAAGGTGTAAATTTTGACTGTAAACAGTGGAACAGGAAGGGTAAATGCAAACAAGAATCCACCTTTCTCTCCTTTCCTTAAGATTTTCTTTTAATTCACTTTTTCTCTGATGGTCTCTTATCAAAAATTGTACTGGCATTCATCACTTGCACTTTGATGCCTTTAGTCCATACTTCTGATCTTAGGGATGCATCTTGCTGGCTCCCTTAACATGCTTTTACCTAGCCAGGCCAAGTTTCTGTGGTCACTTTGCAGTTTACTATAAAGATCAAGGATTTTAATTTTCAAATCGTGAAGGGAAAAGAAAGAATAGCAAATTAAAATATGAATTTGGGGATCTCAGTTATTTTATTTGTCTGTACCAAGACATGCTTACTGGTTGGTTTGTTGTAGGGCTATTTCAAAAGCAGAGAGATTTAGCGGAGACAATGTAATCTACAAGCCACCAGGGGTAAGTGTAACTATGTATTTTATTCTGATTGTTGTCATTATATGTGAATATGAACAAATGGAGATTATTCAGATCATTCAGTATGTTAGTGCATCTCGAATCTTAGTTTTATTTTATCACTAAATAGTGGAAGATATAGGATCCTCTAAAATAGTGTTTCTGAGTCAGTGAAAAAGATCTCAGTCTAATGTGTTGCCAGTTAATGCACAAAACCTAAGTCCAGAATTTTTTTTTCTGGGAAACAGTCAACACATCATGTGTATAGATATTCTGTGTTCTGTAGAATGTGTGAAGCTGGTGCACTTCATTGTTTTTCAAAGCAAGTGACAATTACTGCATATTTTCCTGGCTGTCTTGTGTGCCTTAATCCACAAGGGCTAAGAGCTCTTCTCCTAATTTAAAAAAAAAAAAAATTAATAAAATTAACTATGTGTTAACAAACTGTCATAAACAAAGTTTCACTTGAGCAAGAATTCAGTAAAGAAAATCTGCAAGAATTGCTTTTTGGAGTCATACTGTCTAAAAATCTGCACCTTTCTCAAATGTACTCTATGCTTACAAAAGCTGCTTACAAAAGAGGAAATAGATGAATAAAAACCTGAGGGGTTGGAAGGCAGTTTCAAACCTTTTTTTTTTTTGTCAGCAACAGAATTTATTAGGTTACCTAATTTATATGGCATTTCTGAATTAAGGTGTGTTTAATCATGGTCTCAGCTTGCGAAGTCATGCTTCGCTTCATGTTAACCAAAATTGTAATTACATTAAGGGATGCCAGCACTGAATTCTAAGTTAAAACTACTAGCAAATAAAGGAAAACTATTATTTATTCATGTCTTTGGCAAAGCAAATGTAAAATACCAGTTTCAAGTCCTGTAGGACGTTATCAGGGTTTTTTTGGTGAGTCTTTGGAACTATCAGCATGAAGCAGCTTAATATCTGCTTTTTAGTTTATATCCAAATGGTGTTTTTAGGTCTGGAGATTGTATTTCTCAATGTGGCAGAAGTCTAAATAGCCTTTATTTGAAGCATCTCCAATTCGGAGATGTAATGTTTATTTTCCTTTTGTACTTTTATAACATAGTTAATAGAAATCTTGCATGTACAAGAGTTGAATATTGGTATAATATTTGCTTTCAATATTTATGAGTATTGTTATTTTATATTAAGTAGGTAACATTTGTAGGTAGCAAAGTCATTTTTGCTGTTTCTCATCTAGTGTATTTTTCTTTTCAACAGGAAAATGCTCCAGATATGGTGTATTTAGGATCACTAACCAATTTTGATTTGATTTATGCATGGACACAAGATAAATGTGTACCACTAGTTCGAGAAATTACATTTGAAAATGGGGAGGTAAGAATTTTTCTACTATTCTGGTTTTGTGGTTTCTTTCTCAAAACCAAAAAGTGTCTTTCAAGGTCTCTAATCCATGTCAAAAAACTTTGTGTTTTATTTCAGACAGAAAATAGCTGTCAGGTAATATCTTTTCATTCTTCTTGGGCTTTTCTGGTTAGACTTGAAATACACCAGAGGTGGATTTGTAGTAGTTTCATGCACTACCAAAGAAGAGGTTAAAATTATAATTATAGAATCATGGTGTTGTTAAGGTTGGAAAAGACCTCTAAGATCAAGTCAAACCATTAACCTAGCACCACCGTGCTCACCACTAAACCATGTCCCCAGAGGCCATATCCGCATGTTTTTTTAATGCTTCTGGGGACGGTGATTCTACTAGGGAAAAAAATCTTTAGAAAATTACTGAGTTTATAGGAGCTCCAAAGGAATATTTGTACATAGCCACAGCATCTGGTACAAACTCTGGTGAGGTTTGTAACAAATTGCAGTATGTTGTCCACACTGGGTGAGAAACCAGAGTCAGTTATGTGATTCATTCTCAGTTTGCACGCTTAATTCTTTTTATCCTGAATCCACAGTGCACATAACACTGCTGTTCTGGGCACATGCAGTGCCTCAGGTTTCATGGCAGAGGGTGGGACAGGGTGGTTTTAGTACTTAACCCATTTTGGTTGACTATCTTTCAAGTCAATCCTGTCGAGTTTATTGGAAAGTTCTAGTAGTTAACAAATCTTAATTCTTCATTTGCAACTCATTATGTAAAAGATGCCACATGTTAACATCTTCTGAAGTGTGTGGTAGATTCTCAGTGTACTTTTCCCATGGTGAAACAGGATTCTGAGCCTTAGAAGCCAAGGTTCATCACTGTCAGCTTGCACCACATTGTGTTGTGGTTGTTCTGGTCATTCTCTTAACCTTTGATTCTTGTTTGCTTAGGGAGATAGTTACAATTCCAATATTTAAGCGTGCTGAAGTGGAGATATTTCTGCCTGCTGAGGTTGTATGGTTATTTAAATAGGCTTTTACTTACTCTGTGCACTGCACAATATTACAGGGTAAAAATATGAAGTTCTATGGCTGTTAAGCTATGTCCATGCTACTAGAATACCATATGAATAAGGACAAAAATTTCTTATTTCTTAGCAGACTTTTAATTCAATTTTAAAATCAAAATTGGTCTCTGTGAACTGCTGCTAGGTTTTTCCCTCATTTTCTTTCTTAATGTTTTCATTATTCGATAAGCATCATGGACAGACTAACCAGAAAGATGCCCAATCTGAGCAGAGTGCATTGTTGTGACTTTAGACAACAAATAGTGATCAAACTCTGAAGCAAAGTCTTCTACTTGAGGCGACTGTCCATTCAAGACAGTTCCTATACTGACAAGCAAAGGCTGTTTGGATCAGTAATATCATCATTCAGAAGAAATCACTGTTTAACCTGTAATCAGCCTGTTTAGTTCTGTGTTGAATGAATACGGTGAACCCATGTGGTCTAGTGATGGTGCTGAACTGCAAGTTTTTGAAAGGGTAAAACCTTTCTTAAAGGCATGCAGAAACAACGTGGGAGGCTCAGATCTCCTGAAAATCTTTTTGTTTTTCTCAGTGCCCAACAAAACAGTAGCTTTTGAGGGTGCAGACTAGGCAAATGGAATAGCTGTTCTACTTGCTGTGTCCTGATCAATGAGACATGCTATGAAAGCTGGAATAGAAAAGCAAACAAAGGAAGGTACTGTATAGGAACCAGTTGGGCCCAAATGAGCAAGGCCTTCAAGCCAGTTGTCCTAACACTCTGTTTGGAGATGAATAGATCTTGCTTCTGTAACTTGCCAAGGTTGTCCTTTTAGCTACTTGCACGTAAGAGGGGAGCTTAGAGCCACAATACCAAGTTCTGTTTCAGAGTTCTCCCTCTGGAAATGTACCTGCTGAAATGAGTGGGGAAATGGAGCCATCCTGTAATAGGAGGGAGGCTGAAACTGAGCAGAATCCGTGTGTGTGAAAATGAGAGCAAGCAAATGCATTAGCGGTTGGTTTAGGGGTGGATTGAGAAGCTTGGATTTCATCAAGAGCACCGAAATTATGAGGATCTTTGCAATCTGCTATTAAAAGACCAAGCTTCAACTTAGCTGATGGACTTGGCTGAAAAGAGCATGACAGCCCTTTTC